CAGTGGGTCAAAGGAGTAGCAGAGATGACAGTTGCTCTTTAAAAATTACGATTTAAATCGAGTTGATTTAAATCAAGCCTTTTTACTAGTGATTTAAATCAAATCCACCCTGTGAGGAAGCATCCAACTCTGAATTGCCACAAAACAATAACAGAACAAAAGAAGTTGGGACTTTTATTTAGTTAAGCTTTTATGCCAAAAGTGACTCTAAGTGGCTTGTAATCATTCAATGTAAGTACTGTATGTGTAAAACATTGAAGCAATAGAGACCCTCAATTGAAAATTCAGTTAAAATCAAATTGACCAAAATGGAGGGGAAAGGAGTAAAAGGTATCTGTGGCGGAGGGGAGGTCTTGTCTAATCAAATATCCTCTGATGACCTTCAGGAACAAAGGGATTGGGCCACAAGAGGCTTTCTTAGATGTTAACAGGTCTTGATCAGGTTTTGTCAAGGGATTTACACCTGCTATGATCAAAATATTTCCTATTCCATTTAGAAGCATAAAAGAGCAGTTGTCGTGTTTTAAATATGAGAGAATACAGATAGCGGGATGGAGCTCATTAAATGGCTAGTATCAGGGGTGAAATCCAGCAGGTTCTAGAGAACTGGCAGCGGAAATTTTGAGTAGTTCAGAGAACCGGCAAATACCACCTCTGGCTGGCCATGGAGTGGAGTGGGAAAGGAGATTTTGCAATATCCTTCCCCCAGGAGTGGGGAGGGAATGGGGATTTTGCAGTATCCTTCCCCTGCCACGCCCACCAAGCGATGCCCACAGAACCGGTAGTAAAAAAAAACTGGATTCCACCACCGGCTAGTATGAATGTGTGCTGTCGCTGGGGTGGGGGGTTATTATTTCATTATTTTTCTTTTTTGTTATTTTTCTTTTCTTTTTTTTTTAATATTGTGTTTTTATGTCCTTGTAAGCCGCCTTGAGTCGCCATGTGCAAATAGGCAGCAATATAAACATTCTAAATAAATAGTCGTTAAGTATGAACCGGTTGCCAAGCACCTGAATTTTGGTCACGTGATCATGGCAATGCTGCAAAGGTCGTTAAGTGTGAAATGGTCATAAGTCCCTTTTTCAGTGCCTTTGTACCTTTGAATGGTTACTAAATGAACTGTTGTTAAGTCAAGGGCTACCTGTATTTGTTTTGTTTTGTTTTTTTTAAATTTGATTTATATGCCGCCCTTCTCCAGAGACTCAGGGCGGCTTACAATGCGTTAAGCAATAGCCTTCATCCTTTTGTATATTTATACAAAGTCAGCTTATTGCCCCCACAAACTGGCTCCTCATTTTACCTACCTTAGAAAGGATGGAAGGCTGAGTCAACCTTGAGCCTGGTGAGATTCGAACTTACAGTAATTGCAGACAGCTGGTGTTAATCAATGCTATCAGTCTGCTGAGCCACCAGGCCCCAGTGTTATGCCTGGTTTAAAAGAAGTGGCATGCAAATAACTCCAAATATATAAATAAGATGATCCATCTGGCTGCTTGACCGTACACCAACTTACATTTGTGGTCTGTGCTCAGGAGCCCCACATGCGGCAAGACTCAAGGTTTGCCAGTATGCGTATCCTTGTTTCAAGCCACAATGTATCTCGGGCTACTGCAGCAATGATAGTTTATTATTAAACCGAGTGTCTACGATATTGAGACATATTAAGACTAATGAATATATTTGATATCCTCCATTCAGCAGAAAGTATGACACAATTGTTCTTATTGGAAGTGCTTTGGGAATCCCAGAAAAGTGGTTAGTTTGTCAGAGAGAGAAAGAGAAAGGTGGTTTTGCGCGTGGAAAAAAAAAATAGCTCGAGTTAAAATTAGTCTGAATGGAACAGAAATCAAGAAATCTTAGTGATTACAGTAAAATCCAACCAGTCCAAAAATTATATCTCTCGTCTGCACCTACTCAAACACCATCATATCCTGGGAGAAAATTTCTCCCTTGTCTTGTGGCTTTTGCTCATCTACCATCCAGGGGTCAGAATGGCCTTAAATTCAACAATTTAGCTGTGTTATTTCCCTTCTTCCAACACTACAGTGTTGGTGTTGGAAGAAGGGATGGTGTTGCGTTGGTCCCTTCCAACACAATGGATACCGCTAATTTCACGGCGAGATTGTTTTCTGCCAAAGGAATGGCACTTTAACTCAACAGTAAAAGTTCTTAGAAAGGCTGGATCTAACAAGGGCATGGCCAAAACACAGCCTCTGTTTGCTTATATGAAATGCATAGAGTAGCCGCTTCAAGAAGCAACTAAAAAGTGAAATTTCAATCATTGTTGAGACTTACAAGATAGAAAAGCAACCCAAGATAGAAAAGTAAAGATTTTACTTTAGGAGCACCACGCTTGGTGAACCATTCAAATATTAATCATCACCCGAAAGACAATACTTGTAGTCCTCAACGTATGACCATAATTGAGACCAAAATTCATGTTCTTAAGTGAGAAATTCGTTAAGTGAATTTTGCCCCATTTTACAACTTCTCCTGCCACGTTTGTTAAGCGGATCACTGCCGTGGTTAAATTAGTAACCCCGTTGTTAAGTGAATCTGGCTTCCCCATTGACTTCGCTCCTCAGAAGGTCGCAAAAAGGGATTCCGGGACACTAAGACTGTCATAAATGTGAGTCAGTTTTCAAGCATCTGAATGTAAATACACGAGACTATGAAGATGCTACCATGGTCGTAAATGTGTAAAAAATGGTCATGAGTAACTTTTTTCAGTGTCGTCGTAACTTCAAACGGTCACTAAATGAACTGTTGTAAGTCGAGGACTACCTGTATAAAGACCAATTTTCTTCTTCTTAAATAACAGCAACTCTGAATGTTGTCTTCATGCTTCCTGAAGCCCGGCTGCTATGTTAAAAATATTAATTAGCAAAACTGGATGGGGTTGGGTAGGGCCTCATCACTTTGGAGAGACAGCTGTGGACAAGGAAGATGCACAGAGATATATTAATAAGCCAGCAAGAGCTGGTCACACTAACACTCACACACAGAGTAAGACACAATGGGTAGTTTGACAGTTAACAAAGTCAGCAGCCACTAATGGAAGATGGCAACAGGTGATGATTTTGAGAGTTGCATTGGCCGGAACCGTTTCTGGATGAGTAGCTGTTCAGTTTCTTCATTAATAGCCTCCTTTTCTTGTTTTATTCATCAGTTTCTCTTTGATCTTTTCTTCCCAGCCGCATAAGAAGCCAAACGCAGAGATTCTAGTTTCTCCTCCCAAATGTTCTTCTTTGCCTAGTGTTGTTCAGTGCAATATGTCCTCTCCCAGGAAATTGAAGCCTGTCTCTGATAACCCAATTTGACCCCTTATTGCTGTCACTTTCTTAATCTTCAGTCAGCTCTGGCTGGAGCGCAGAACTATTTTGGGAAATGATCAATTATTATATTTATTATATTTTTACAGCAAGGACAAACCCTCCAGATTTTATCTAAACTATGGCTTTCATATGATGATGGGAGTTTTAACTTGGCAGGAACGTATTTTGATTTATATTTACTTATGGAATCCAGTGATCAAATTCAACAACTATTATGGGTCCAAGTGGAAATCTATAACGTGAGCCTTTGGAATTTTGGCAGGAGTTTGGTTTCTTTTTCAGTCAAAATTCATTTGTAATTCCGGCATTATTGGATGTAAATCATTCTTAAATGTTGACCTTTGTTAATTAAGTTACATTATATTATTCCTGTAGAATAATTCCAATTCAAAAATTGCAATTAAATCCCTTCATAAGCTAATAAGGGCATTGATACTTCGGATCAGCTTATTGAAATTCAAGTTTTCATCGTCTGAGGAATTTGGTTTGTCTAAAACTTTGAAATGGCAATAATTTAGTCAAAACTTCTAAGCACAATGCAACTTCTGAATTAGATAAACTTCTGCAAGATAATAACTCCTGTAATACAAGTGAAAAGTATCTGGGATTATTCCAAATCTACAGTGTTTTTTAGAGATACCTTAAGAGTATTGCTAAAGTGAATATTGGTCATTTCTGTGAACTTTTGAATAAGATTTGGAGAGCCCCCATTCGAACAAGTCTTAAGGAGCATTAGGTATTTCTTTTATGAATTTAAGATGAGATTAATTTCACATAGGCATATTTGTTTGCCTTGAAATGTGAGATGGCGAGCATATAAACTCAATAAATAAAAGCCCAAACTGCGAGATGGATGGTGTACAAATTAATAAAGAAATAATGGTAATATTGGAGAATGATAAAAATAAAATAATGATAGGGACACTTACCCGTTGGATCTAGAGTTGCTTATCGCTGTTCTAATTTGATTGAATTTACATATTTATTCATGTGGTTTGGGAAATGAAAGGAATAATATTTGGTTGAATTATGTATGTGTGTGTATATAAAATTCAAAACTAAAAAGGAAAAAGATTGTAGATGGATGAATGGATGGATGGATGGATGGATGGATGGATGGAGTTTTTGTCCTTTTGTCCTTTTTTTAGTTTTTTTTTTTCTTTATCTGCATTTGACATAATTTCTGCACATTTTAAAACAACTAAGATGCTTTTAAAAAAGGACACCCACTCTAACTATTTCAGACAATGAGAAAGACTTGGCTCTTGAGTTCTGTGAGCCATTTCTTAAAGATCAGATTAGAGGGAAAAAAGAAGGACAAACCAGGACAAACATCTGGTCACCTTCTTTTTAATTCAGTGATTAATTAAATATACATGTTATCATTTAGTTTTTAAGAACATTTTTCTCTTTCTGTTACTTTAAAAATTACAAATCAGACACAAATGGGGAAGTGCCCCCCCCGCCCCCAACAATTGGCTCCAAGCTATTTATTTTTAAGTACCTGAGATCGAAAACAACCGCCACCAATTGTGTGATTCAGCTCTGGCGAAATACAAACTATTCACAAATTTGAGATTTAAGGAACGTTTGCATATCTGGATAGCTCAGGCTTTTTCTAAGTATTCTGAACCATTTGTGTTGTCTGGATTTCTCACGAACCAGGAAATGCCTTCTGTTGCAAAGATGACCTCATAAATACCATCAAGCAGAAGTCAGGGGAAAAACCACAGATTGGAAGCTGTCTAGGAGAGGTTGAAAATCTGTCCTCAAAAGGAATAGCAGCAACAGAAGAAGAAGAAAAAATCTCAGCGGCATCGTACCGGGACTGAGAGCTCTTCAGGTAAGAAGCTCCTTACTTTGTTAGCCGAACGGAGAAAACAAAATGAATTTAAACTTTTGCTTCTTTTTCTCAGCTTGGCCTTATTAAAAAAAAAAAAAACACAAAATAAGGCAATTGTACCATAGGTAAGATGCAACTTCCTCCTTCCAAAGTGAACAGAATAACGGTATGCTAAATCCAGCTGATGCTGCGTGACACTCAAAGTTACAAATATGTACATGCTCAGGTTTAAAATCCTGAGATTGGAAAGCAAAATTCCTAGCAACAAGTTGACTGGGAAAGACATAAACTGGGTTTCAGGCTTATCGATTGTACGAAATATACAGTAGATTATGACAGGTTCAGTTAAGGAATTTGTGGGGGGAAAGTTTACCAAAAGAGACAACATGGGGGCAACTAAGCACCGTTTATGGAGTGGTACGGAGAGGTACAAGCCGGGTTTCTACTTCAGTTGACAGTTGATCTGCTCTGTGGTTTGGTTGGCGTCTTTGATTTTATCTGAATTTTAAGGCACCTTAAGCAAGAGAAGGAAAGCGGCTTGCTTAAAAACCCAAGGCCCCGTTTTTAGCTACAAGGAACAGACCCTGGGGAGCTATGGAAAAATAAAATAAAACGGGTAGGTTCGTTGCTCTTTTGCTGTCAACTGCTTTCGTTGCAGTTTCTCAGATCTCAGCTAGACCTGATCGCTAGCAGAGGAATGTTATTGTTTCCTCATTAGAAGCATGGCTGAGCTTTTGAAATAAAAGATCTGGCTTTTTTTTTCTCTCTCTCTCTGCAAGTCCGCAAAAAAAAAAAATGTGACATAGGAGATAATGTTGGATACAGATCATCTTCAGATCTCACAATGTATTTGGTGATATTGATCTGGTCGCTATGTCGCTATCAAAACTATTGCACGCAGGTTGACCAAGAAGTATCTCTATGGTCCTGTTGTCAATCGCCGAAGCCTGTCGTTCAATTTTTTTAATAGAGATTCATATCATTTCGGTTGGTAATTGGATCCCAGTTTGATAGATTTGTACTCTGCTTTTCCTCAAAGGAATTCAAAAGAGCATATAACTTGTAATTCTTCGGGGAAATACAACTCTGCAAAGCAGGTAGAATTGAGAGAGCACCTAGTCTGCTTCCATCGCTAATTGTGCTTTGGAATCTAACCTTCCCATTCTTAGCCTTAACTCTTAGATTTGCATTGCTCTAGGTTTCAGATTGTTGGTTGTTAATTGGTTTGGGCTTATCTGTTTCCATTTTAATTCCTCTGAATATTTAGCATTTGTGTTAAGTCAAGGAAACCAGATCTTTTAACTTATTATCTACCGGTAGCTAAATACCTGGCTAGGTAGGTAAACTAGGTAGGTATCTGACTAGGTAAAATACCTGACTAGGTAAAATACCTGACTAGGTGGCTCAGGGGCTAAGACACTGAGCTTGTTGATCAGAAAGGTCAGCAATTCGGCGATTCGAATCCCTAGTATAGGTCTCCTGCATAAACGGGGTTGGACTAGATGACCTCCAAGGTCCCTTCCAACTCTGTTACTGTTAAATATAACGTACACCATGGTGGACTTCTTCAAGGAAGAGGGTTACGTATTAACCAACAACAATATTGTTCTAATTTGTACAAATGTGTGCAATTTGATGTGTGTGAGTGTGTGCAAAAATTAAACCCAATGGAATGGGGAAATGATGATTTGCAACCAAAATGCCAACCGTATTTTCTTTCCACTGTAGGAAACTCCTCCGACTCGGTGAATTGTGGAACCGTGGGGCAGGACATTTTGATTTTTGGGGGAGAGAAATGCCACCGGTCACCTTAGCAAGGTGATTTTTTTTTAAATTATTATTATTATCTTCTATTTCCTGAGAAGCATTCCTAGGAGTAGTGTTTAGAACCTCCCCTTGAGAAAGAGGCCATGGTGGATTCGGTCAAATGCGTTCTGGTAGGCGATGCTGCCGTGGGGAAGACAGCGTTGCTGCTCCGCTTCATTTCGGAGACTTTTCCGGATGCTTACAGGCCGACCGTTTATGAAAACACCGGTGTGGACGTCTACCTGGATGGCACCCAGATCAGCTTAGGCCTTTGGGATACCGCTGGCAGCGATTCCTTCAAGAGCATCCGCCCTCTGTCCTATCAACAGGCCGACGTGGTGTTGATGTGCTATTCGGTGGCCAATCACAGCTCATTCCTCAGCTTAAGGAACAAGTGGGTGATGGAGATCAGGACCCACTTGCCCCGAATCCCCATTTTGGTGGTGGCTACCCAGACCGACCAAAGGGACGCGGGTCCTCACAGCGCAAGCTGTATCAGCCTGGTGCACGGCAAGCAACTGGCTAAGGACATCCGGGCGAAGGGTTACGTGGAGTGCTCCTCCCTGGCCAATCGGGGAGTTCAAAAAGTGTTTGAATGTGCCGTCCGGACAGCGGTGAATCAAGCCAAAAAACGCTCAAGGAGGAACATTTTTTCAGTGAACGAATGCAAAGTTTTTTGAAACCGGACTAAATATGGCATCGTTTTCTGCCTTCGCCTCGCCAAATGGTTTCGTAGCGGAGTAAACGCGAGCCTCTCCTTTGTGGGCATTAGGATGGGCTGTTCCAACGCTGGCATCTGGAACTTTCAAAGCGAAGAGAAGCAAGGCTGCGATGGGATTTCCAGCGGCATACATTGGAGAGTATGAGTAGCAAGCCAGAGCCTCGTTTCTTATTAGGATGGAAATGTTAGTTTATTTACTACTACAAGTTCTGTTGGATTTATAAAAGGGGTTGCTTTCTAACACCTGAGATAACGAATGGATAATTTATATGGCTGACTTAATAGAAGCTTGGAGCTGAATAGGTCAGGAATATGTGAAATAAATAAGGTCAATTAAATGTCTTTTTCCTCTAATGTATTGTAGAGATTGCTGTCTACTACCAACTTTGAACATTCTGTTACTGATATCAGTCTTTTCTAACTTTTTATATGTCAAGAGATCAGATTTCCTGATAGGGAAAAAAAGAGATCCTACCAATTAAGTTTAACCTGGTTTAATTTATACTTTATAGCATCCTGCCAGAATGAGATATTGTCCTGATGGTTCTATTTTCAATAAAAGCTGCCACTGTGAAAATAAGATACAAGTAGTTCTCCTGTTACGACCACAATTGAGCCCGACACTTAGGCTGATAAGTAAAAGGCTTGTTAAGCGAGTTTGTCCCATTTTTTGACCTTCCTTGGCAGAGTTGCTAAGTGAATCATTGCATTGGTTAAGTTAGTCACACAGTTAAGTGAATCTGGCTTTCCCACTGCTTGCCAGAAGTTCACAAAAGGGGATCATATGACCCCGGGACACTTCAACCGTCATAAATATGAACCATTTGCCAAGCATCTGAATTTTGATCATGTGACCATGGGGATGCTGAGAAAAATGGTCAAAAGTCACTTTTACCAGCGTCGTCATAACTTTGAACGATCACTAAATGAACTGTTCTAAATCAAGGACTACCTGTTTAAGTTATATCTTAAACATTTTTAATCACAAATCAACAGAATTAATATTGAGAGGTCCTTGATGCTCTCTGGCTGTGGTGGTTTTCTTAAAGAGGTTTCTTTACCAAACCAGGCAACACCATCGTCCCAAAGGTGTTTTTTCAAGAGGCAACTGGACTTTCTGGTTTTTCTTCGAAGGCATTTTGCTTCTCATCCAAGAAGCTTCTTCCGTTCTGACTGGATGGTGGGGAATGGAAGGGTTGATATTCCTTGCAGACAGCTGGTCATTTGCATCCTTTTTAGAGAATTGTTGAAGCCATTTGGAAGTTTGTCTGTGTCCTCGGGGTCAGCTGAATAATGCAAATGGGCTTGCAGCCCTCTTGGAACTGCTGAAAGAACTGAATTATAGATTGGGGATAGATGATGTCGTATCCCTCCCCCTCTGTCAAGATGGGGAGGGATAGATGACCATTCATTCAAACCTGTGCTCCTTTCTGTCCAAAATGTGGCCTTTGTCTTTTAAATGCAGATGGACCTCTGATTCTTGTCCTGATGGGTCTGTTCTCCTATATTCCTTTCAAGGATTCTAAACCCTTCCATTCCCCACCATCCAGTCAGAGCTGAAGAAGCTGCTTGGATGTTTTTTCTTTTCTTCAAAGAAAGAGAAGAAAGTCCAGTTGCCTCTTGAAAAAAGCACCTTTGGGAGAATCTCCATAGCCATTTCGGTCAGCGGTCACCAACTGGTGGTCCGTGAGAAAATTTTGGTGGTCCGCAGAAAAATTATTTGTGTTTTTTTTATATTGCACTAAATCAAGGGTCCTCAAACTGTGACCCCTGGGCCGGATACATGCCATGACGTTTGTGTTGCTGCAGAGAGTCTCCCCCTTTGGGGTCTTTTTGTGTGGGTCAGAGGGGGACAGAAATTCCAACTCGGGGTCTGCTTTGGCCTCCTAATGCAGGGCTTTGGGCGAAGGCTGGAGGGAAGCACTGCTAGTGGCAGAGAGCCGGAGGGCCTCGTTCCAGTGGGACTGCATCATGGCCTGGAACTGGCTGATCTTCTCAACCCACTAATCCTCCAGGCGCCGGTACCTGGCTTTGCACTCCTGCAGGTCTTCCCTCTGCTTGTAAAGCCTATGCTCCTAGTCCTCAGTGAGATGCTTCTGCTGAGCCTCCTTCTCGGCCAGATCCAATTTGAACTGAGCTGTTTTGCCAACTCTTTCTCATGGTGGCTGCTTAGCTCCAACAACGGCTTCCTGTTGGGGCCCTAAGGAGCCCGGGTGGGCCAGCGAGGCACCCCTCGATGCGAGTGACATCGAGTTGGCCATGCCCACCCAGTCACATGACCACCTAGCCACACCCACTCAGCCGGTCATTAGGCAGATCATATTAGTGGTCTGCGGGATTTAAAATTATAAATTTAGTAGTCCCTGAGGTCTGAAAGGTTGGTGACCCCTGATTTAGGTAACATCATCGGTGAAATATTGTCTTCTGTCAGAATTAACAATTATTAAGTGTGTACTGAATCGCATGCAAAGCTCTGCTTCTTGGTGACATATGATATACAAGGAGGGAAGCTAAGCGTACTTACCATTTTGCAATGAAAGCTGCGGGGATCTTGGAGCTCTCTGAGCTTGGTGGTTTTCTTGCAGATATTTCATGTCCCAACTAGGTTCAACTCCGAGCTACAAATATTCTCTTCAATTTGATAATGAAACATCTGCCAGAAAACAACCAAGCTCAGAGAGCACCAAATATGGTAATCCTCTGGGTTTCTTCTTCAAATCCAGAGGACTATCACACTTATGGGCCTTTGATAATTTGGTAGGAGGACCTTAATAAGCATTTCTTATCATGAAAGGAAATGTTCCCAGGGAAGGAGCTTTGAGCTTTGATAGTTTTTCACTTATCTGAATTAGCTTCATGCATGACAAAGGTAGAAAGCAGGAAACTATTGGAGTTGTTAAGACCCTGAGAACTCTTTGTCAAAAAATTATTTTGAACTATGTTTTTGTGGTTTCAGTTCAACAACTGGCAATTACCTTGACAAGCTGATCTGTTTTTAATTTTTAAGAGCTCGTTAATTGGCTGTCATTCTCAAGGGACACGGGTTGGGTAGGCCGAATGGAAACTACTTCCCACTTTAAAACTTTCTGTCAAGACTGTGCTTAAATTAGGAACCATTTGATGTAGGTGCTAACAAAAACCTATGTCATTTCCTATAAAAAGTAGAAGTTTAAGCCATCTAAAATAGCATATGCATTTTAATTGGTCAAACAGCAGGCAGGTTGAACAGTGTTTTTTCCACTAAACTGTTGATCATTTCTAAATAAACACTAAAATAGTGTATTCTCTGTTTTAACACACATATGTTCCTAAACTATAGGTTTGCTGAAACTAGTTAACTTCTTGTAGTAAAAAGGTGTATGCAGCATCTAATTTTCATTTGTTAAGAAAGGGTTCTTTAAGGATTGTAACAAATGTAGGGGAAAGAGCCACCGGTCTGCAGAAATCTGTACAATTTATTTAGAACATAGAAGAACATGTCTTCTTACATTCATGATTGCAATCAAAGCTGTAACGAAGAAGAGAGGAACATGGCCGATGCAATTTTTTTTAAAAATGGAGTCTGTGAAGTAATTAATCATGCCCTGTGTTTTTATGTTTGGAAACCTGACAGCTGTCATTTACTTATTGGCAGGTTGGGATGCAACTTATGCAAGGAAACAAATAAAAACACACGAGAATGAGCCAGAAAGGCTCTTGACTCATTGAACAGCAAATATCAAAAGTACCAGGCCAGTCTCTAAGGAAGCAAGTGAGCTACCCTGTATCTCTGCATTATTCCAGTCTTCACTTCTTACTGGAATATATTGCTGAACTATCTAGGACAGTACCCAAAGTTAAAATATCATCTCTTTAGTTTTGGTGGTATGAATATTAAGGCTGTGCAGTACTAGGGATACAAAAGGAGAAAAGGTACATCAGAATGCACATAGGCACACTAGTTATGTCATCCCCAGAAAACACAGCTACTATAAGGACATTTCAGCACATTCAGAGGGATTTTTCCCTTTGCTCTAATCGTATAGTATGCATCTAGACAACTACTGTTTGTTTGCTACAGCAAGGTCAATTCAATTCAGTTCAATGGTGAAATAAACATGATTTAAATGATTAAAATTGAACCCAGCCGCCTAATGTATGGATGCTCTGCTCTTAGCAATCACAACTAGGAGAAAAAGATAGTAGAAACATCAGGCTAACATTAGCTGGAGTTGCAACATTGCCCATTCTTAATCAGATTTGAAAATGGGAACAGCTTTCACGTGCTGGCAATTATTCACTGCGTTTCTAAGAAAATCAAACAACGCTGTACAATAAAGGAGAATATTTATAGCTCAGGGTTGAAATGTGATGTCCTTGATGTTCTCTGAGCTTGGTTGTTTTGTTTTGGTTGTTTTCTTGCAGATATTTCATTACACAAACTACGTAATATTATCATATCCCCCACCATTCAGTGAGCACTGAAGAAGCTCCTTGGATGAGAAGCAAAATGTTTTCAAGGGGAAAAAACCCAAGAAAGTCTAGCTGCCGTTTGGAAAAGCACCTTTTAGGAAACCATCAGTGTTAGTAAGCCAAAAGGGAATAAAAAGACCAAAACACTTCTCCATCAGCAATCAAGATCCAGCTGAGCATATTAATTCCAAGGTTAACATCTGGAAACATCAAAGTAACTGGCAAACAAACTAACAGTAAACAGTCCAACCAAAGAATTTCCAAGACCATTCCCATCCACACTGACAGGGCAAGCCACTAGGGAAAAAAATGGAGAGCAAGCCTCACTCCTCACTAGCGCTGATGATGTTACCTAGTTTGGGTAATAAAATGTCAGCAAGAAAACAGCCAAGCACAGAGAGCACAAAGGATCTCTCGGTGCTATACAAGATACATAAATTAAAGGAAAACTTTCATACTCTAGTGTGTTGTTTCATAGATGTGTACTAAAAAACACGGAAAAACCAGCACGATAAGGGATTTATAAAGCAAGCCATATGGATAACAATTAAACGCTTGGATTGTTTATCTTGCAAAGACAAAACTAAGGGGAAATATGATGGTGCAAAAGCAAGCTGAACTGTTTTCTGTTGAAATTGTTAAAAGAAAACAGATGCAGCCTGAATGTTCAAAAAATGCTCTTTCAATAATGCTGTAAAAGGACAGGATAGCCTTCAACAACAGTGGTGGTCTTATCGCTGTGTTTAAGGCATCAGGCTAGAAACTGCATGTTCTAGTTCTGTCTTAGATTCAAAATCAGCGGGGTGTCCTTGGGCCAGCCATTCTCTCTTAGCCCTGGGGAACAGGTAAAGGCAAATCTCTTCTGAAATCTTGCAAAAAAAAATAATAATCCACCAAACTATGGCGATTTCTGCATGCAGTTGACAGAAGCCAATATTAATTCAAAGGGACAAAATAAAAATAAATAAAAATAAAAAATCCAACAGCAGCAAGATGTTTCAGGAACATTTATCTGCTGATTTATATAAATGATGCTACTAAAACAGGAGACTCCAAAGCAGGCAGGTCTGATTTTATAATTGAACTATAAGCTTCCTTTCAAATTTCAAAAGTAACAGAAATTATTTTCTATTCATTTCCCAATCCATTTCAGATAATGAATGCTTTGAACAAAAATAATTTAGAAGTATGATTTGTTTTTATTAAGTTCTGAATATAATCATTTCATTCCACAATGAATAAGCATTGGCTTGGTTCCTAAAACAAGGTTTCAATAAGCTTAGTTTTACAAATTTTCTACACAGGAATGTGATGTAATTAATCTTTATTTTTTTTAAAATGACTCTCTTGAGCCTCAATAACAACAGATGTAAACATTCTGTTCAGGGTAGATTTTATGTTTATTATAATCCAACATGAAGACTTCTGCAGGAATACCACAAAGTAATTTTAAACTGCATCTTACTTCAAAGAATTTAAATGATTTATCATTTGAAAAGTTACTTTTTAAAAAAAATACAAAATACAAAATAAATCCAGTCGATGCCACAGCTAATAGCTTTTCTATTCTAGAAATAACAAACACAAGAGGAAGCTACATTAATATTTTTGCTGTTTTGTTTCTGTTAGTATTAACTATGTTTTTAAGCCAAAGTTTACTCACTGACATATGAAGAAAAATGCACAACTGGTTTACCATCATCTACCTATAGCAAAATCCCACGCATGTTTATGTAGAAGTAGGTAGGTTCTGCTGTGTTTGATGCTTATTATTAGTTCATATGTATTTAACAAAAAAAATAACCCAAGTGAATCCTGAATCGGGATTGCAGATAAAGCACATTTAGGAAATGAAAATATTAAGTTTCATGAAGAGCCCCTTGCTAATGCAATGCTAATTTATGATGATTGATGTTTGTAATCACATGCCTTTACACCTAGTTACACTGTTATAAGGCAATTTTATCAACAGAAATCAGCCTAATCTCATCAATGGAATTAGCCTCATGACCCATTTGTAAATTGCAAACAGTTTAATCCTTCTCTCCTGCCTGTGCCCTTGCCTCAATCATCCCCAAGCAAATTCAAATTGTTTTTATACAATGCACCACAAAAATGAAGGAAATGTAGCTACCTTATGCCTCCAGAACTGGGAAAAGAGTTGACTTGTGAGCATTTTATTAAAGGGTACAGTAAATTGAATTGCCATCATTTAAGTAAGACTGAACTTTATTCTATTCTACAATAAGCAGAAATTAATAGGCTATAGCATTTAATGGCAATCTTAACAGTTTAATAATTAGCAGAAGTTAATCTAAGTCTATTTGGCCCAAACATTAGTTTCTTAATTCTCTTCCTAATTACAGCCTATCACATGGCCTAGTCAAAAGGTTCCTACTCAATTTCATCTTGTGCTCCCAGAGATTTATGTTAAAATGACATCTTTCTAATTACCTTAAAACTTTAGCCTTTAATATTAGGTCTACATTCTCCTATCATTTAATAACTAGAGTTCCAGAGAATATGGCAACTTGATCTTGATTCTGTGATATTTTTATAGATCTGGTATTGTTTTCCTATTTTATTATTTTAGTCTAGTCAAACAGAGATATTTACATTTCGTTTTAGAATCCAAAACATTTTGTTCTGTGGTAGGCTAAGTAATCACTTTATGAGAATTAGTTATTTTTTCCTATAACCAGGATGGAATTTCATTATTAACATTAAGTACATGAAGTTTGATATTTGACTGAGCTTTCTTTTCACAAACTAAGAACACTATTATTTTTGAATTAACCCAATATAAAAAAAGTTATCTTGCCTGTGTTGGACACAAACACTTGCACTTTCAGGCATCATAGGTAAATCTAAATACAGGTAGTTCTCAACTTATGACCACAATTGAGTCCAAAATTTCTGTTGCTAAGCAAAATGACTGTTAAGTGAATTTTGCCCCGTTGCAGGACCTTTCATGCCTCAGTTGTTAAAGGAATCACTGCAGTTAAAGTTAGTGAAACAGTGATAACTTTGAACGGTCAGTAAATGAACTGTTGTAAGTCAAGGACAACTGTACATCTTAGTTCTCTCTTTAATAGCCCAGCTGATCGTGTTTAACAATGGATGTAAAATATACCTTTTTGCCAATATACTGTTTTTTGTAAATAAAATCTGAGTGGTTTTACTTTACAATTAAAAAAAAACATGTTAAAAGACAAATAATTTAAAGTCTGGCAGGTAGAAATAAAACAATAGGGATTTTTTTTTAAAAAAAGTAGGTAAATGTTTAATGAAACATGGTGCTGCAATCTAGTGCAAAAGAAGCTGATTGGTGAACTTGATGGCACAGACTAAAGGAAACTGGGTAACCACAAAGATGTTTTTCTTTTTATACCGGAAACACCTGCCACTCCAAAGAAAATTAAAAAAAAAAGTACTTCACTCAAACTGTCTTGAAGAGAAACCAAACACTTTTCTTCTTATCAATATATTTAAATTTAATTGAACCAGGCAATTTATTTCAAGCAATTCTTCCAAATTGAAACAATGCATGGTCAGGAAAAGTAGCAGCAGCAGGACAGTGCTTTCTAGAGGAAAACAGGCCGTTTCATATTTTTTATGAAGCTGATTGCTACTTGTGTTTACTCGGAAGTGACTCTGTCACTGAATCCTGAAAATGTGTGTAGTTCTTAATTTCCAGGAAAGTGGATTTTTTAATTTATTTAGTTTAACAAACCCATCCAATTATGTTTGGCAGAAGGGATTTTGCCTTCTTTCCAGATCTAAAAGAGAACGAATGACCCAAAATAACGCAACTGATTTCTGTGCCAAAGACAACACTAGAACTAAGATTTGTCCATTCTTAGTCTTAAGCCTTAACTAAAGTGAATCATAAACTATGCTTAACTGATCACATTGGGCTAGCTTCAAATAACATCCAGTCCAATTATTCCCTAGAAATTCAGGCACCCAGAGTTGCATGGAATCTAATGGAATTTATTTCCCTGAATTTGGGAGAAAAACAATATTTATTATCTTTGGCAAAAGTGGTAGGTTTTTTTGTCCTTATCCAACAATACGAATATACTTGAATATACTTGAATATACTTGAAATATAAGTACTTCAGCCAAAGCAAAAAAGTGTTTATTAAAAGGGGAGGGTACAGAAACCAATGATACATTCAGTATATGTGATACATCAGAAAGCAATAATCAAACAGAAATCATTGATTTCACATAGAATTGAAACACAGTAAACACTGATTAAGTGTTAACAAGTGGCAAATTTATGGGTTACATTACTCTTCCTCAGCTGGATTTGTATCTTAAAAGTTGCCAGTGTATTTTCTTTTGTATCTTTCTTAAAACTTACCAGTGTATATTTTTTCTTTTGTATCTTTCTTAACACTTGCATGTGTATTCAAGGACTTCCAGAATACACTCTTTATTGTTCAGCTGCTGAAAAGATTAGTTCTCACATACTAAAAACAAATGGCCTGAGCTCAGAACAAAAAAAAAAAATGTTTTCTTGAATTTAGATTATGGTGCTAAAATGTTAATAACACCTTTATTAAAAGGCTAATATTGAAGCCTAAATCCAAAGATGCCTTTTCCAACTGGACTTTGAATTCAATAAAATCCAGTTGCTATTTTTTTTTAGGGGAGATGGGGGGGAATCAACTTTAGGACAACCATGACCTGGATGATCAAGAATCCCTATATAAAATGAAGCCCCAAAAAGCTCCAGATAATATAATTAAACATTGGTCCAGTTCATCCCAAAGGTGCTTTTTCAAGACTTTCTGGTTTTTCTTTGAAGATGTTTCTCTTCTCATCCAAGAAGGTTCTTCAGCTCTGTAGATATAACTAAATGTCCATGGAGATTCTCAGTCATCCAGGTCATGGTTGTCTCAAAGGTGCTTTTTCAGGAGGCAACTGGACTTTCTGGTTTTTCTTTGAAGACATTTTGCTCCTCATCCAAGAAGCTTCTTCAAGCTCTGAAGAATGAACTACAGATGAATTCTCCAATTTCTCACCCAGGCAAACTTTGGAGGAGAAAATACCTTTAGAGGCCTATAACCAAGTTAACTTGGGCTCCATTTTTTTCCCCACAAGGGCCTTTGGTGAGGCTTTTAAAAAAAACATTAAAAAATGTTTTAAATAACATTTGTCTGCTTGCTTTTAACCATTTAGTCAGCTGGGACTCTTTAAGCAAGAGCTCCCCCTGCAACCCTACCAAGCAGAGCTTATTTCAACAGTTGTGCTATCAGCATTCCTAATCTTTAATTAGATGGCCGGAGGTCAGCCTCTTAACTAAAGATAAGCCTCGAGCAAATTAGCCTTGAGCTGTTTTGAATTTCGCGCCTCTAAGCCGACCCAAACCACGTGGCATGTCCATTTAAAAGAGGAGCCAATCAGAACGCGCAAAGGATACGCCCGGTCGCTCATTGGCTGCTCCCAGGGGAGCCCTCCCTCCCTCTTTGCCTATAAAAAGGCCGCACTCGCGCCTCGCAAATCACCTCAGTCGGAGTCGAGATTGCTGCTCGGTTCGGAGTCGCCCGGTCTGAAAATGAACCGCTTTAGCCCCTTCGTTTCCAGGCCCGAAGACCTCAATTGCTGCTTCTGGGACATATTGCTGCTCCTCGCCGGGGAGCCGGCCTTCGGATTCCTGCGGGAAGCGCTCTCCGCTCCTCCCGACGCGCCGGACGAGGCTTCGTCCGCCGACTCGCTTGACCGAGCCTTTACTTCCTTCGCGGAGACGTCGGAAGGCGGCTTAGAAGAAGCTGAGGATTTACCTCACGCTGAGGAAACGAGAGGTCTCCCCGACGCCGGTAAGTGGCGGGAAAAACGGTTCGGTTCTCTTTTGGGCATGCGCAGAAAGCGGCGCGTGCCGAGGGGAAGGGACCATTTTCCCTCGTTTTTTTTTTAAATTACGAGCATGCGTGCTGAGAGCGAACGATGAGTGTTTTTTTTTTAAAGCGGACGCATGCGCGAAGCGGTTTGCCTGTCTGTTTTCTCCCTCCCCTCTTCTGCGCTTGCGCACCGAGGGCAGGAGGAAAACGCACGTGGCTTTTCTGCTTGCCTGCGCTTTCTCACGCCGCCAGAAGATCGCGGGGATTCTTTTGGTCGTCTGAATGTGCTGTTTGTGATCTGGTGGTGGTGTGTGTGTATATATGTGAAGATAACGCAATTTGTCGCAATTAAAGCCCTCTTTTTAAATTATTTTTCCATATATATGGAATATATATATATATATATATATATATATATATATATAAATTAAAATCTCGGGTGTTTTCCCCGCGTCATTGTAAATAAATTGGTTAAAATATTTAAAATTTAAAATGTGCTCTGTAAGGATTTTTAGAAGATTTTAAGCTGGGATTTTAACCAGGATTTTAAATATTTTAACCAACTTATTTACAATGAGGTGGGCAAACACCCAAGATTTTAATTTTTTGCATATGCCCACCCGTGAAAACTTTAGATAGATAGATAGATAGATAGAGATAGAGATATAGATATAGATATAGATATAGATATAGATATAGATATAGATATATATATAGTGATTTTTCTTTCTCGCTCCTCTTTTGTACCCTATGACTATCATTAAGTGTTGTACCTTATGATTTTTGACTAATGTATCTTTTCTTTTATGTACGCTGAGAGTTTATGCCCCAAAGACAAATTCCTTGTGTGTCCAATCACACTTGGCCAATAAAGAATTCTATTTATTTGTTCGGCTGCTGACCCAGGATTCGCAATTCGACCCGCAATTCGGTGCGGAAAAAGTCCCCCTGCCTAAGATTCCCCCACCCCCCACCCCGCTCCAGCAACGCCTCTATGGGCTTTCAGATCTCCCTCTGGAGTTGGGCGACCAAAAGGGAGATAAATTATACTTATTAAATTTATATGCTGCCTCCTCTCGCTTACAAGGCGGCATATAAATTAACTTAAAGCAATTTAAAAGCTATTGGTGGGTCTTGGCTGCTTTGAGAGGAACACGACCCAACGATTGCTTGTTGAGGAGCATTGTTCCTACCGCGGGACTTTCCCTGCTGTTTTTCCCCCCTTTTTCCCCATCGCAGTAAGCTTTAAAGCAGGGGTCTCCAACCTTGCAAACTTTAAGCCTGGCAGACTTCAACTCCCAACTGCCAGGCTTAAAGTTGCCAAGGTTGGAGACCCCTGCTTTAAAGCTTACTGTGCTGCATTGCATGGAAATGTTATTTGGAAATGGCCCATTAATGGCCCATTAGCTTCAACCACAACAACACACAATTACACAATAGATACAAACTTAAAGTGAACCGCTCCAAGCTTGATTGCAGAAAATTCTTCAGCAACAGAGTGGTGAATACCTAGAATGCACTACCTGCCTTTGTTGTGGTTTCACCCCAAAATTTTAACCTAAGACTGTCTACTGCTGACCTCACCCCATTCCTAAGAGGTCTGTAAGGGGCGTGCATAAACGCACCAGCTTGTACTCACAATCATGTTTATACTTTTATATGTAATCTTATATATGCTTGACAAAATAAAAATAAAAAATGGTTTTGCAACTGAGGTGCAGCAGAGGGAGAGTTGAGTTCTAATTTTAGGAGATGCAGGAAATATTTCTTTTAATAGCTTGACTCAGCCTTCGATCCTTCCAAGGCGGGTAAAATGAGGACCCAGATTGTTGGGGGCAAGAGGCTGACTGTAAACAGCTTAGAGAGTGCTGTAAAGCATGGGCTATTATATTGCTTTATTTAGACAAAAAAAAATTCCTAGGCTAGCAATAGGTAAGGAGCGATTGTGGGCATGGCTGCCAAAGTGCCTTGCTCCCATTTAAAACTCTATTATAAAGTGTTTGTGGACCAGCTTGTTAGAGCCAACATTGCAAATCCCTCTGTTTCTAGGCTTTTTTAAAAAAAATGTTGCTACTTGTGAATAGTTGCTGATTCTTTTTTTGCTTCTTTCCAGGGGAATGGAGTACTGGAGATCAAGCCCCCGATGGCTTTGCACCCCATCCTGTAGGCCAGTGGTCTATACAGGCCTTGCGCCTCCTCGAGCGGTCAGGGCACCCCACGATTTGGAAAGCGTACAACTGGGGCTTGATGCTGTTCATTGCCTATCGAGCAACCGTCCGGTTCCCCTCGGCTTGGCCCATCCCAGGACACCAGTTCAGAGGCTTCCTGCTGTCTCTGGATTCGGAGGGTGTCGCCGCAGCCCAAATACTGACCTACCTGTCTGGCCTTTCCTACCTATCCCAGACTTTCAATTTCCAGGATCCGCTTCAGGACTTGTTCACCTCCCACATGATCGTCTGCATGCAGTGGCAGCGAGAACCTCCGATCCCGCTGAGCATGGATACCCTGGAATCGTTGCTGGGAGCCCTCGAAAGAGTCTGCATCTGTTTCTACGAATGCCTTATGTTTCGAGCGGTGTTTTTACTGTCTTTCCACGCAGCTCTGCGGCCTAAAGAAATAGTGGCTAAGACCTGCACAACTTTCCACCCGGAACTGCTTTGCTTGGACGATATCGAAATGGAGGAAGACCGCGTCGGCCTTAATATAGCGGCTCCTGAGATGGGCGCAGGGCGCATCACGTACTGGTTAAGATCCACCGAGCAACCGTCGCTTTGTCCCGTTCTGGCACTCAAAAATTATTTGGCGGTGAGACCTCGCGGCGAAGGGCCTCTCTTCTTATATAGCGACTGGCATCTACTGTGCAAACGGCGATTCTTGGAAGTGTTCCACGGTGCTCTAAGAAGACTCGATCTCCCCGCCCAGCGGTACCGCATACACTCTTTTTGGCTGGGCTCCCTCACGACTGCAGTGCGCTGTCGCTTCCCAGAGAGGGTGATTCTTCATTTGGCCCGGTGGCCATGCAGGACAATTCCTGGACGACCCAGGAGTTAATGGCCAACTTCAAAAAGCCTTTTTAAAAAAAGCCAAAATTATATTGATGCTTTGGCTTTCCTACAAAGTCAGTCTTACTACGGACTGTGCTTAATTCTTTGATTAATAATTGCAACATTCCAAGGGGGGGGGGAGGGAATGGTATCTTGGAATCAATTGTTTCATAAATGGATGTTTTCTAGGGAGACTGTTTTTTTTGCAACAGTCATAACTATTTCATATTGAAACAATAGAGCTGAGCTTTGGGTCTGAAATTTTGGACGCTGTGCTGAAATTCACCCCTTTGCTGTGGCTGCCGCATAACTTTTTTAAAAAATTTCCTAGGGAAAAGCCATGTAACCATGAAGACTAGCTAAGGAATAGGGGGGGGTGGGATGTATGCATTTACTGAGCTCAGATGCAGTATTTTCATAATGCTCTTACATTGCCCAAGAAAGCACTACTGTATTCCTCTCAGCAGAAGGAATAATGTCCTTTTGGTTCCTTAACTTGAGAAGGGAAACGACTAGCTTATTGTATTTTATATGATGTATTAACTATAGATAGAACCCAAACGTATTTAGGATATTGTCCTTGCAGAATCTGCATTTTAATGTTGCCCAATGAATGTGTGAACTATTTTCTTCTTTGCTACAAATGGATTTTGTAACGTTGAATAAAGTATATAAAACTTCAATGGCATCGAGAATTTATTTTCTAAAGCTTTTCACTCTTGTCGCTATCTCGGTTTATTGCTCAATATATTGCTTCATCATCTCTCGTTGGATTCTCTGTGGTTCATTCATCTCCATGCCTTGAAACTGAAATGGAAGATGGGCATGGATAGCACAGGAAAACTATATTCCTACACATACATTCAGTTTGGCAGCTACTAAGATTTATGGAGATACTCAAGTGGTGCTTTTTTCCAAGAGGCAACTGGACTTCCTGTTTTTTTTTTCTTTGATGTTTCGCTTCTCCAAGAAGCATCTTCAGCTTGCAGACAGCTGGAAGTTTTTTGCAGGTTGTTAAGGTCACCTGGAGATTTATATGTTATCAGGGTCACCTGAGTGGTGTAAATGGGTGTGGAACCATCTTGGAACTGTTGAAAGGACTGTGTTGTAGATTAGAGATATCCAATAGACAACATCATCTACCTCCAATCTACAGGACAGTCCTTTCAACGGGTCCAAGAAGGCTCCACACCCATTTGCATCACTCAGGTGACCATAACAACCTGGTAAAAATGCAAATGTCCAGCTGTCTGCAAGCTGTGAAGAAGCTTCTTGGAGGAGAAGCGAAACATCTTCAAAGAAAAAAAACAGGAAGTCCAGTTGCCTCTTGATGACTGAGAATCTCCATAGACAGTACTGCAGGCTCCGTCTGCTGCCTGCCTGCAGTTTGATTCTCACCGGCTCAAGGTGTTGACTCAGCCTTCCATCCTTCCGAGGTGGGTAAAATGAGGACCCAGATTGCGACTCTAAACCGCTTAGAGAAAGGTGTAAAGCACTGTGAAGAGGTATATAGCAACTTTGTGGACTGCTTCCGCGGGCGAGCGCACGCATGTAATTCTAGGAACCTAGAAGAAATGTGAGCGCTCAGCTTGAACTCCATGTCGTCGGCTGGTTTCATCCCGCTACCCTTCTCTTTGTTCCTTTGGTAGCTAATTCTCAAGTTACCTGGCATGAGGGAACAAGGTCGCAAGACCAAAAAAAAAGCGATCCTACGGGGAAGACTGACCAATCTGACTTACAAACAACCTGGGAAACGGGCTGCGGTTGCCTGTCCAAGGGTTTGCAAGGCAGAATAATGAATCTTTTTTCATGGGTGAAGCGTTTGTAATTTGTCCGTCTCTGCAATGAGGGTGATTAGCATTTTCTCGCTCGTGGTTTTCTCGGCAGGAAGGCTTCAAGGTAAGTAGGAAACTTAGCAGCCGGAGGAATGTCAGGGAGAAACGTTATAGCAACAAATTGATTCATTTTATGTTGCTAAGTGAAACACTTCTTAAGTGAGTTCTGCTCCAATTTCACGAGCTTTCTTGCCGTTAAGAAAAATCGGTGCAGTTGTTAAGTTAAATGCATTTCATTGCCCCCCCCCATTGTTAAGTGAATTGGAGCAGCTGTTAAACTTCCCCTGTTGACTTTCTTTGTAAGAAGGTCACAAAAGCAGATCACATGACCCCGGGATGCTGCAACGGTCATAAATACGAGCCAATTGCCGAACGTCTGAATTTGGATCCCGTGAGCACGGAGATGCGGGAAGTACGGTCGTAAATTGAGGATTACCTGAATCTTTCCCTCTTGCTGCCGGTCGATTCCCCCCGAACGCAACAACTGTTTGCACGTGTCTGTTTTTTCAAACGTCTATTCTGAACAATTTTAAATTTGGTTCCACCCCAGACATTGACGCAGCCCAAGGAAAATATGCTCAGATGCTGTTTAATGAGCTGTTTGAAGGCTACTCCAACGCTCTCCGGCCTGTTGAAGATACAGATATGGTGCTGAATGTTACCCTTCAGATCACGCTTTCCCAAATTAAAGATATGGTAAGCATCGAAATAATGTAGGCAGAATAATAAACGTTGGACAGTTTATATACAGAATAACAGAGTTGGAAGGGACTTTGGAGGTCTTCTAGTCCAACCCTTTGCTCAGGCAGGAAAACCTATATACCAGTGATGGCTAACCTTTTTGCCATCATGTGCAAAAGCGGGGGTAGTGTGTGGGGGGGTCGTGTGGGGGTGGGGCACATGGAATAATGGGGCCCATAATTCCATGTGCCCCAACCCCCTGCATGTATGCGACCTCCTGCGCTCCTCCCACTTTTGGCATGCGATGGCACAGTGGGCCGAGTAGGCCCGTTTTTCGCCCTCCCCAGGCTCCTAGGAAGGCTCTGAAGGCTGAGGAGAGCGAAAAACGGGCCTTCCGGTCCAACCGGAAGTCGGCAAATGGGCCATTTTTGGCCACCAGAGGGCCTCTGGGAGGTTGGGGAAGGCTGTTTTCACCCTCCCCAGGCTCCTAGAAAGCCTCTAGAGGCCTTCCCCACCCCACCAGAGGCCCTCCGAAGGCCGGAAACAGCGTGCTTCCCGACTTCCGGTGGACCCAGAAGGCCCGAAAATCAGCTGGCTGGCACGCGAATGCATGCTGGAGCTGAGCTCGTGTGCCCACTGATATGGCTCCATGTGCCACCTGTGGCACGCGTGCCATAGTTTTGCCATCACGGCTATATATCATTTCAGACCAATGGTTGTCCAATCTCTTAAAACCTTCCACTCACAACTTCTGGAGGCAAGTTGTTCCACTGATTAATTGTTTTCACTGTCAGGAAATTTCTCCTTAGTTGCTTCTCCCCTTGATGAGTTTCCATCCGTTGCTTCTTGTCCTGCCTTCAGATGCTTTGGAGAATAGCTTGACTCCCTCTTCTTTGTGGCAGCCCCTGAGATATTGGAACTCTGCTATCATGTCTCCCCTGGTCCTTCTTTTCATTAAACTAGACATTCCCAGTTCCTGCAACCGTTCTTCATATTTATTTTATTTATTTATTTTTCAAGTATGTATTAAATAATATATATAGTTATAAGCATGAATTGAATACATAAAATGAATACTATAAAGGGAACATTAGGACAGGAACGGAAGGCACGCTGGTGCTCTTATGCACGTCCCTTACAGAATGGGGTGAGGTCAACAGTAGACAGTCTAAGGTTAAAGTTATGGGGGTTTGGGGATGAGACCACAAAGTCAGGTAGTGCATTCCAGGCATTGAGTGTTGTGGCTCCGTTGCCTGAGCCTGGGCTATCGACAGATGCAACTCTGAGAGTGAGGAAGAGGAGTTGGCAAGGCCTCCCTCTCCAGGACCCTCCTCTCTGGCAATGCCTCCGGAGGACACCGAAGGCCAAGAGATAGGCTCAGAGCCAAGCACGTTCCTGCAGCCACAGGTGGACAGTGATGAAGGAGATAAGTGCTGGCTGGACCCTTGCCAGAGGCGCAGGGAGAAGCGTGCGCAGCAGAGGGGAAGGCGTGCCAGAGATTAGCGGAGTCACTGGACCACATTCCATAGGGTATAAATGTGGGTGTGGTGGCCGGTTCAGTTTGTGATGAGCAAAAACTAGAAATAATCCATGATCTCTGCGTTACTAGACTTTGCCTGCTTTATCGGACTGCATTTGGATTAATCCTTGTATTGTTGAAAACTCTGCCTGTTTTATCCGAATGCTGGCAGTCTAATCTTTGTTTTGTGTGAGTAAAGTCTGAATTGGCAGCTAACCACTGGGTTGCTGCCAGCTTTATTTTCAAAGAATTTTGTCGTGTGGCTTATTAACTCCGGGCCGTCTGTGGGGGTGCGTGAGTGAAACGGGGACAGAACATTGACCACTCTATAAGAGAAATCTGGAGTGATGGATTGACCATAGATAATACTTAAAATAGATGAACCACGAGCCTAAACTGGTATCAGACACTGTCTGGTCTGCAATACACTTGATGTCTAATAAATTATACCTATTAATAAGCCAAGGGAGACATGGATTGTTTTTATTTAGAGACGCGGTAGCTGAGTGGCTAAGACGCTGAGCTTGTCGATCGAAAGGTCGGCAGTTCAGAGGTTCGAATCCCTAGTGCCGCGTAACGGGGTGACTTGTCCCAGCTTCTGCCAACCTAACAGTTCGAAAGCAGGTAAAAAATGCAAGTAGAAAAACAGGGACCACCTTTGGTGGGAAGGGAACAGCGTTCCGTGTGCCTTTGGCGTTGAGTCATGCCGGCCACATGACCACGGAGACGTCTTCGGACAGCGCTGGCTCTTTGGCTTTGAAACAGAGATGAGCACCGCCCCTTAGAGTCATGAATGACTAGCACATATGTGCGAGGGGAACCTTTACCTTTACCTTAAGTTCTGGTAAGTCAGATAGACACCTTCCAATGTTCCCAAGTTAAGGCTGTCATTATCTTCTAGGATGAGAGAAACCAAATTTTGACAGTCTACCTCTGGATCCGCCAGACGTGGCACGATGCCTATCTGAAGTGGGACAAAGACAGATACGATGGATTAGACTCCATCCGGATCCCCAGCAATCTAGTATGGAGACCAGACATTGTACTCTACAACAAGTAAGTCTTGTCTGGATTATTTGCTCAGCAGTTTGCAGAAATGAAAGGAGCGATTCCCCACCTCGTGTGAGAGTTATCTTTTCAAAGCCTACCCCCCCACAAGAACTCGGTAATTAATTTTGGTGCAAGAAGCTCAGAGACCCTCCTGAGAAGCGAAAAGAATTTGCAAAAAGCCAGTCCCAGCAAACGATCGAAGACAGTTGAAGTATTTTTGACTGGATTCTCCCTTGCTCATTCAATTTGAATTAATATGAATGGAACGGTGGCCAATAAAAATAAAATAAAGTCAATCCAGAAATCATCATCATCATCATCATCATCTTCTTTTAACGATCCCATAATCCCTTGCGGGGTGGAGTCTGGGCAACTGAATGTAACTAGGAGAATGTTTTAATGGCCGGATGCCGTTCCTGTTGCCAATGTGGAGTTTTGTTCAGCAGATATACTGTATTCTCATTGTGCCCAGAGAGAGATATATCTGCCTCTACCTAGGATCGAACTCACAGCCTCCTGATTGTGAGGCGAGAGCTCCACCTCTAGGCTACCGCACCACTCCTCAATCCAGAAACACATGAGTTAACAATAATTTCGA